TTCCACTAAATTAATTTTGAAAATAAACCGACGTCAAATATTTCAATAACAAATAATAATAAAAATTCAAATCATATTTTAAAAAATATGTCATTTAAGATTTTTATTTAGCAATAATTATAAATGTGACATTATGAATATCAAATAAAACACAAATAGATATATATATATATATATATATGTATATATATAATAATAATAATAATCAGTTATAATAAATTGTACATTAACAAATATTTCAATAATTGTACTTATTTCAGATCCATTTTTTGAACAATTAATTTCTCACTTAGTATCACTTAACAATTTCTTATTTTTTAAATTTTTATTGTGATATAAAAATGTGAATATTCTTTTAAGTGATAAAATAGAAATGCATAGTAAAATAGAATAATTCATAGTAAACATTATCTTCTAAAACTTTTATAAAATAGTCATATTTTTTAAATAATTCATATGTATCGTAAAGTAGGATAAGCGATTATTTAAGCCAAGGAGAATGAGAAATAACAACGCATTTTATTGCATTATAACTGCATAGTACAATTTCGAACATCAAAAAAAGTAGATGTGTTTCTTATACGAAAAGTGCATAAATCATATTTTTAGTGAATTAATCTACAAGCGTTACATCATTTTTTGTCCATTTACATCTTTGGTAAGATGATTATTTGACATTTTCTAATAAAAATAGTGATTAATTATAAAAATATGATTATTGTTGGATTGAAATATGCCAAAAATACAAGATTAATTTTATTATCATATATATTATATTTTAACAAAGCTAATTCTTAGCGTTATTAAACAATAGAAACAATAAGACAAGTAATAAATCGGCACTGTTAACAGTGCACAATTAACACTTTTTATTACAAAACTTCAATCTATATTACAAACTCCAAACGTTTCGACTCAAGTTTTCGAGTTATCTTCAATAGGTATAAAAAGTAAAGATATGATCCCGTAAAGATATGATTCACCAGATGAACCCGACGATGATAAAATCGTTGATTA